AAAACATTTTTGAAAAAAAAAAAAAGTTCTTCTTAGAGGGCGCTTATTTACAGTCTAAAACGTATTTTAGGAATTTTTTCATTAAATTCCTCTTTAAACTTCATTAAAGAATACAATTTTGTACAAATAATTGAATGTTATGCTACTATTTATAAAAATAAAATCAGAAATCCATTAAAAGATAAGTTTTCTATCATTATTTCAATTCACAAATGCACACTTGCATTGCCTACTAAGAAAGTTAGTACCAGTAGTCATCGGGTTAACCCAAGACATTCTCCAATTTCTATCAATTTATCAAAAGTTGACATGGTTCTATAGCGTGATTTAATTGCCACACCATATGCAATACTACTACAGTTGTGTGTAGATAGGCCTCCTTTTTCTTTTTTTTTTCACTGGCTTTCATGTTTTATTTTACTGCCATTTACCACTGTATAATATCCTGTCACAGACACGAAGTTGTCAGATTTTGTTTTTGTGGATTTTTATATGGTAGGTGTCTGTGACTTGTTGACGGTAAAGGTAACGATGATAGAACAGCATCCACTACAATTGTTTCAATATCAACATATATATTCTGAACTAAATACATATAAATATATCAGGATAAGACATAAACCTTGCCTTGTCCGTAGCTTTGCTGCAATCTTCTCTCTTTCTCCTCTGCTGGCCCACCACCCCTTCACTATCGGTTCCCATGTGCCACTCTACACTCTCGACAACAACGAGTCACAAACACAAAATACAACATCATAAACTAAACAAAATAATATTACAATGATCATAAACACAACAAATCAATGACAGTCTTTGACAAACTAAAATAATAGTCTAAACTAAAAGGATATACTCTTTAAAATTGTTTCAGAAAAAATTCCAGACATTTCACAACCTAATAAAAAAAAAAAAAAACTAAATGAAATTTTATGAATTTTTTCAGACAGACATTTCTCGGATAGTTTAATGATTGTATGAAGTTTCATCCAGTGTGAGAAAGTATTTTCACTGTGAGAGCTGAATATTAATGATACACCCATCCAATCTACAAAGGGTTAAACTAGTGTTATGTAGAGAAAAGAAAAATGGGGATGGTATAGAATTACTTGTGGTTCTCCGACTTCATTCTTTACAGGTTCTCTGATAACGCATGGGTTACACACACATTACTTAGGTGTTTCTTTTGTATTTTACATAGAAAGTGAGTAACTCAGTTTGCTTTTGTATCTAAGAATTGTAACAAGCAAAAATATAAACTTACTAAGTGTGATACAGTATGAACAGTATAAAACAAGTCAACAATTTGAGCATTAGTAGAGAGACTTAAAAATATCCATCTCGTGCTGTTTGGACAAAATGTATGTACTTCTGTCGTCGATGGTAAAAATATTTCGTCTGACAAAGATATTGAAATGATAATTAAAATCATTTTATTTCTGTAAGAAAAAGTTTTTCATGTGTTTCTTCATAGTACTTGCATAATAGTGTATTTTTTACAAGTCTAATCAGATTTTAATAATGCCTGGAGACAGCTTGAATGGGTAATGAAGAAAAATTTTAATATAAGTTTAACAGCAAATGTACAATGTTTCGACGAGGTTTTGTCATCATCAGGTACCGTCATCGAATTTGAGCTAATCAGATTTTATATTATTTAACATCCGAAATGGTTTCACAGAAGATACGCAGCTAGTTGATTTTGCAATGCTTCCTTTCAATCCCTAACATGAGTAATTACTGTATTAAAACACTATAGGGTAAAAAATATACAACATAGAAATAACAAACAAAAATTGAATTAAATATAATAAATGGCTCTGTTACTACAAATTTCCCAGTTCCATTTTTAATATTGCTGTTTGAGAATAGGTGGACAACATCTAGGATTTAGTTTTTATGTTCATGGCTATAAATTGTAATTAAGTGAGGCCTGTTGCTCACTGACTTTTTAATTTGACTAGTCCAGTCATGAAATTTAGTAGTTGAGGATGAGTTTTGTTTGACTTAAAACTGGTATGTACAAAGCAACATGTGTTGTGTAGTTCTACATGATGTACAACACAATAAGAAAACCTTTATTGTTTATATAATTTATGTTACATAAACACTCAAAGTTTTTAACTTGTTACACAGACTCAAAGATTATAACTGTTGTTACATAAACATTCAAAGTTTATAACTATTCTTACATAAATACTCAAAGTTTATAACTGTCGTTACATAAACACTTAAAGTTTAGTTATTCTTTTGTTTCTAGTTGTTGCTGACGAAGACAACGGTGTTTACTCTGAAACCCCATCACTCATAGATCCAAAAAAGGCAGGCAGACTTCCAGGTTTTCCTCCATTAGAAAAATTGTTGGACATATCCTGCAAATTGAATAGACAGTTGACCCAAATCTTGGTAAGTTGAATGTAGTTTATGAGATGTTTAATCTAGCTGAAAAAAAAGGGGGGGGGACAAGTTTTTAGATTATAAGAAGAGTTTTTTTTTTCTTTTGATGTATTATAAGTTGTAAGGGGTATAAGGAAGTGTGTTAAACTGTATTAATGGGATAGAAGATACATCAGTTTTATGTAAAAGAATAAGTTGATTAGCACTTAACTAGCTTAAATCAAATTGTATGTTCTTCCTAATTTCTTTAGGATTTAAACATATTACAAAGAGCTTTTAGCAGAAATATGCTTTCATTGAAAGTGCCTGAAGAAAGCCACTTTAATATTTAACTGTCTAAGTTAGTATAAACAAAAGTAAATGAATGAATGCTAAGTTTGTTTACATCTAATGACAAAATAAATTGTTATGAGTGATAACTACTTCTCTTGTTTCCAAGCATATTCTGATGGATTTATTTGTATTTCTCTAAGCTGAATAAGTATATTATATATTTTGTGTTATCTGAAAGGAGCTAGATGGTTATGAAGTGTTTTTCTTTTTTTTATAGTCACATGTGACAGACAAGGAAGAAGAGAGGATACAGTTACAACTAGAGCTTCATACATCAAGAGAACAACTCCACTTTCTTCATGAAACTCATCGTCTTTGTTGTGGCATGATATCTCGTTCCCCTAGCAACTTGAGTGTGAATCAGTCTCGAGCAAACAGCTTCATATCCTCCACGTCTGACCCAGTAGATGAAAATGAAGATAAAACAGGTGTTGTTGTTGTTTTCTTCCTTAGAGTATTCAGGATAACATGGATCTTATCTCACCACGTTCTTGTAAGAGAATGTTCAGAAATAATATTTACATATTTTTATACGTTACACAGGGGTTGCACAAGCCCACGTAATCCTGAAAGGTCATGGAATAGTCTTTTATGAGCTTTTAAAAATTGCAGTACCGTAAGTAGTAGGGAAAACACATGTTAAGTTACAGTCTTTGAAAACACCTCAAATTTCTGTTTCAGTAGAAAATCTCCTATTTAATAACTGACTTAATGAAAAAATAGATAACATTTGGAATCTAGTTTTTTGTATTTCTTGTTAGCCATTGGCAGTGTCTTTTCTTGCAAGACCCAAGACATTTGAAACTTCCCTATGAACAAAAATAGCAGGAAGAAGAACATTTAGTTGTGTGTTCCAGGATTATAGCACCCTTGAAATCTGATTATAAATCTTGAAAAAAACTGTAAAACTTTAAGTATTTAACTTCAAAACCTTAGTATTTGGTTATTGTTTTAAATAAAATTAATTTTAAAAAATGCTTCAGACTAACCCCTTTCACTTAATAGCTTGTGAGTGTATTGCTATTAGTTGTCTCTTCATATTACAACATTCATATGATAATCCTGCAGTGGAGTAATACACATTAAAATGTGTACAATAGAAGTAAAGTAGGGGCATGACTTTATAATCATTTGAAAAAAAAATGCCTTTTTGATTATTAACCCAAAATTTTGGTAAAACTTAACTTTCTGGTCTTTCTTTATTTGCTTTCTTTTAAACCAAAATAAAGGTTGTTAAAGTAGTTTTGGTAAGAACTGTAGCAATTTTCAATCACTGATTTTTAACCATTTTTGAATTTAGCTGTGGTCTTTGTTAAGGTTTTAAGTCATGCCAAAAGTGAGGAGAAAAATTATATATGTAGAGCACTTCTTAGTAAGCCTACTTGATGTGTATAAACATAGTTAAGAACTTGAGAGAATGGACTTAGCAAAATTTGTTTGAAAAGTAGATTTTTATAACTAAATTAGATATAACTGTATTAGATAAAGGGGGATATTTTGCTAATTATGCCCCTTAGAAAAAATAGAAAGTAATGTTTTTTGTTTGATTTATTGATTTGTAAATATATTTTAGGTTTAGGTACTTGGTTTAGTTTTAGTGAAATATTTGTACAGAAATTTAGTTTAGCATGTTCCACCTGTTTCTTCCATGCTGCTCTGTCAGATCAGTTGTGGTGAATGTAATATCAGATAAGAATGTGAAGTGTGAAGCTTGTGATTAAAAAATGACTCATTTGTGTTATAACTACTGTAATTTACTTTTTTATCATCAAAATACGTTATTGATTCATTATAGTGATACCAATAATATTACACATATTTTAATGATGCTATTGATATATTGTTGTAGGCTACGTTTTCTAAAATTTTATTTAAGGTTTGTATTGGTTCTTAAAAATCTCAAAGTTAAAGAAACTTAAATTTTGGTACTCTGGCTTTTATGAAGTGCTGAAATAAAAATTTTCTGTCCTTGAGAAAAAGTATGCTTGATAAACATAAGCTTGCAAAGTCTTTTGTCATTAACTCTTGGAAACCAATTTTTTTACAACCAAAATTGGTACTGTTTTATTTCTTTTGTGTTTTTGAAAATGTACTTGAGTAGGAAAAATTTTATTTACCCTTGGCAGTGATTGGCTAGACTCGTTAACTATTCTTGGCAATTTTGATATGAAGTTATTCAAGCTAAGTTACTATTTTTGTGCTTTAGCTACAATTGGTTTCTGACGTAGCAGTCTTGTCCTCGTTCACACAGTTTTCTGGGAAATGTTGTCCTGTTGTTTGGTCAACATCTATCATTACATAAGCAGGCCAGCTTCAAAAATGTGTATTTGAAGTTTTAATCATATGTGAATATGTCTATTTTCATTAGTTTCTTTGCATAAAGAAAAGAAACAGAGAAAAAAATTATATATTTATGCTGAAAGCTTTCTAATTATACTCAACTGCAGACAAAAACAACTTTACACATGTTAAGTAGTTGCTCATGAGACAGCTTTTTTGATTCTTAAAATGTAGGTTTTCTATCCTTTAATAGTTGTGAAACTTTGTACTGGAGGGACTAAATGAATTTTGAATGTGATGACTTAGCCTGAAATTTCCATGTTAGTGAGTTGTATAACCTTTTGTGTCAATAAATTTACTAGTAATACGATTATTTGTTAATATTACAATCGGCTTTACAGCTGGCAATGAGAACGATTGCAAGTATTCCAATTTTTTCTAATAAATTTTAGTTATGTAAGTTAATCAAAATTATTGATTCTGTCTTCTCAGATATACTAACAGGTGAGAAATTCAAAGAAGTTGAAAATGACGAAATTTCTGAAGAAGAGAAGCAAAACAGTTTTGTTGGGGATGAAGAAATAAATAAAGTGGAGCAGGTGCAGCCTGAAGAGGAAGATGAAAACACAGATATTAATTTTGTTTATATGACTGAAGAAGAGAAGTTTAAAAACCAAAGTACTTCAACAGACACAAGGCCATACCAGAGATAAAGAAAGTAGTTTAGATAAGGAAGAAAACATTCAACAAGATATTCTTGATGAAGACCAAGAGTTAAATGCAGAGTGTCTCAACAAATATGAAGAAGAATTGAAGGAAACCTGTGAGGAGGGATTGGAAAAACTGCCTAATAAGAAAGTAAATGATTGTGAGGATGAAAAACGACTGCACAGCTTGGAGGAAACACAAGAGGAAAATCATCATAACGACGATCATGAAAAAGTAATGAATAAAGAGTTTGGAAAATGCATGAAAAATCATGAGGACAGGAATGAAGAAGGTGGTGAATGCAAGGTGTATCCAGAACAGGACATGGAATCTAATGGACTTAGTACTCCAACGGAACACTTTGTTGATGCTATATCTGGAGAGGAGAATATTTCCGAGTATCCGGTTACAGATATAGATCATGAAGAATTTGGTGATAAATGCCGTGATAATCAACGAAACTTAGCAGGAGAAACAAGTTCATTGCCTTGTTCAACAGGAAATATAACTGTTGAAGACCAAGCATCTGTTGTACCAAATGTAAATTATAACCCAGGTGAAGAGACACAAATCAATGAATAAATAAAATCTAAATACGAATCTGTAAAAAATCTAATTAATAATGTACAGTATAAAGAGGTGCAAACCTCCTGATATTTTAGCCTAATAGACCTAAAAAGTCTACAGGAAACATGCTGTATTTCTACAGGTTGTAGAAACGTTTGTGTATTATCTTTTTTTAGCATATCTCATTGAGCTCCAAGAGGTTAGTGAGTTAAGTGAAAAAGACAAAACTGTATTTAAGTCTCTATGAACTTCTAAACATTGCTTCCAAGCTATATGGTGCTTTAAAATTAATGGTTTGTCAGATTTAATTCTTTTTACTTTGTTTGGCAGTTACAGCAAGATATGATTGGCTTGTTTTTCTTTTGTTTTTTTAAGAGAAGTACATAACAAATGTAATCATTACCATAATTTCATTACAACACGTTAAAGCTATAAATGTAATTTGTAGAGAATGAGTTACATCTGAAAGTTTCTTTTCCTTGCGATTTGTAAGGTATGTATAGTATTAGTGAAAATTTCTGTCATTAATTACATTTAGCACCATGGCCAGTCTCAAAATATAAATGGTGTATTTTGTATGTTACAGTGATTGTGATTCTTCAGACAGCAGCTTTTTTTTTTGTTTTGTAAAATGTAAAAAAAAATATTTGTGTGTATAAGTTATTATGAGTAATAAGCTGTGATGTAAAAAACCTGATTTTTTGAGGAAGCAGATTTTTGGATACAAGATTGCTTAACTTGAAAAATAGAAAAAAGGTTATTAAGAAGAACTTTATATTTTCAAACTATGTTATATTGATAACTGTACGTGACCTTCAAAACAGGTTTATCAGAATGTTTACAATCTAGAAAATGGCAGCTGTAATGAAAGGTGAAAAAAACTAAATATGATGGGTTGTAACAGAAATGCTTATTTTTTGCTGATCTTCACTTTGACAAATTTTGAATATCGAGTTCAGACAATGTGAAATAATGATCACGGAAAACACTTGCATACACGTGTGTGAGAGTGATAATTCATGTTTTATTTTGAAGAAATATTTTGACTTTTTTTCCTGTGACACCCAGACCAATGATAATATATAATGTACTTGTATCTTTTTGTACATGCATGCAGATTGCAAAAATTACTGTACTGTACATATTAAATTCTAAAGGTGTTGGTCAGTCAAAGTGCCTGAGTGACCACCTTTCCATATGTTGTTCAACACATTTTCTGGGGTCAAATATCCACAGTAATGTGTAAAAAGGAGTTGGTTGAACCATAGGTGACATCTAGGCTATTCTTGGAAGAATAGTAAAGCTTGTGTGTGTATATATACTTATATATAGTATGGAAGATTTTATAAAACTAAATAAACCATTCTGCTCTTAATTTAAAATGTATGAAATAAATGTACAATTCTTTTTGTTTAAAACTGTGAAATTTTATTTATGAAAATTAATTTTTAATTGATTTCTTTTTAAATAACTTTATACAACATGAAAATAGAACTATTAATGATGCCATAGAATCGTCAGTTACACAGCCACAAATTTTTCATGCGTGAAAACAGTTTTAAAGTAATTAGTCTCATGCTAGTCACTTCAAAGTAAAGTGACTATCCTTGTACAAAAATGCAGATTGTGAAGTCTGTAAATGGGAATGTTTTTTTTATGTGTGAAAATGTTGGGAGTAATATAATTGAATTTAAAGTAGGACACATCTGTGATCTGTTGAATTCCTGAAAGATGATATTTTAATACACAGATCATAAAAAGAAACTGTTTCATAAAATCACAATGAAAGTACACACCTGAACATGTATTTCTCTTCAGTTGGAAAAAGATAAAATACCAAATTTAAAAAATTTTGATTAATAACTGGAGAAAATCTGCATAATGACATTTTCTGTGAATGTTGGGAAGAAGTTGAAATTTTTATTTAATTTCTTTTGTAATGTTTGATCCATTAGAAAAGACTTATTTAGAATTTCTTTAGGAATTT